AACACAACCACATCATTCAAAAACCCTAAATCTTTATTCTTCTTCTTGTTCGAATCGATAAAAAGCATTTTGGATTTTGGTTATTATGGATCTCAAGTCAATTAAAGAATACTTTAAAGTTGACTCAACGCAAGATTTTGCGTTGAGGAGACAGACGAGGAATCGGAGGATTACATTAGCCTTGTTGATCGCTCTCCTTATCATCATCGGCGGCTGCATCGGCGCCTTTGCTCATAGCCGGAAAAACAACTCGAAACCGAGTTCAACTCCGGAGTTGACTCCTGCTGCGTCACTGAAAAGTGTGTGCAGCGTTACTCAGTTTCCTGATGCTTGTATATCAAGCATCTCTAAGATCCCGTCTTCTTCAAACACGACGGATCCGGAGAGTCTATTCAAGCTCTCCTTAAAGGTGGTCGTCGACGAGCTCGGTTCCATATCCGGTTTACCGAAGACGCTCTCTGATGCGTCAAACGACGAGCGAGTGAAATCGGCGCTAGGTGTCTGCGGTGATCTCATCCAAGACTCGATAGATCAGCTCGTCGACACGGTGGCCGCCCTGGAAGAAGGAGGAGACGTGAAGACGATCCTAAACGCCAAGAAGCTTGAAGATGTGAAAACGTGGCTCTCCGCCGCGTTGACATTTCATGAGACTTGTTTTGATACCCTGGATGAGGTCGAAACAGAGTACACCGAGTCGCTGACTCTGAAATCGGCGATGAAAAACTCCACGGAGTATACAAGCAACAGTTTAGCGATTGTTGCGAAGGTGCTCTCTTTTGGTGTCCCGCAGAGACGTCTACTCAATTCCCATCCGAGTTGGGTTAGACCAACGGTGAGGCGGTTACTTGAAGAGAAGAGAAAAACTCCGGATATTACGGTGGCCGCAGATGGCTCTGGCGACGTGAAGACAATCACCGAGGCCGTGGCTAAAATTCCGAGCAAGAGCAAAACGAGGTTTCACATATACGTCAAGTCAGGAACCTATTTGGAGAATGTGGTTTTGGATAAATCCAAATGGAACGTCATGATGTATGGCGACGGGAATACCGAAACCATTATCTCCGGTAGCAAAAGCAACGGCACCGGGAGTCTTACCTTTCTATCCGCCACGTTTGGTAACTCTTTCCTCCTCTGCTTACGGGCTATAATTTTCCCATTTTAAAAAAACATGATATTTGTTAATTTGTTTTACTCCTTTACTTAGCTTTATATATTTGTTCGTTCATGTATCAAATATAATATTGATGGTACGATATGATTTTACTCTACGCAGCGGTCCAAGGGGAAGGATTCATAATGAAAGACATTGGAATCATAAACACCGCCGGACCAAAGAACGGGCAAGCGGTGGCGCTCAAATCGGGATCCGATTTCTCTGTCTTTTACCGATGTTCGTTCGAAGGTTACCAAGACACGCTCTACCCTCACTCCCACCGTCAGTTCTACCGCGACTGTGACATCACAGGGACCGTCGATTTCATCTTCGGAAACGCAGCGGTGGTCTTCCAAGGCTGTAATATCCGACCACGTCAGCCACTCCCTGGCCAGTTCAACACTATCACCGCACAAGGCAAAACTGATACGAACCAGAACACTGGAATCTCGATCCAGTATTGCACCATCTCAGGAGCCAATGGAGATGTAACCGCTGCGACGTATCTCGGTCGTCCGTGGAAAAAGTACTCGAAGACGGTGGTTATGCAGTCGAAGATTGGGTCGGTCGTGAGCCCCGCCGGGTGGACTCCGTGGGGATCCGAGGACCCTCCTTCGACTATATTTTATGGAGAGTACAAGAATTCGGGTCCTGGGTCGGATCTAACTCAGAGGGTTAAGTGGGTCGGGTATACACCTGTTATGACTGATATTGACGTATGGCATGTTATGGTTTATAACTTTATCCAAGGAATGGAGTGGATAGAGGCGACGGGAGTGCCGTTTGATCCAAAGTAATTAATGGCGTAGTATTTGG